GGATCAAACCCTCAACCTTGGTATATTGGGAGGATGCTCTAACCAACTGAGCTACCCAGCCAGGGACAAGAGGGTGAGGGAGATTCTCTTGAATTTGCCTCATTTGTGGTGTGATCCTTAATGTTATTAACTAGGGAGCTACGTGGATATGGAATCATTTTAAGCAGAAACACCCATTTCCCCTATTGTACTCCAGCCCTCAATCAGATTTCCTCTCCTCCCCGGGCTGCTGCTCCACATTAACCCTGAAGGGGGCACTTTTGTTCAGTCGGTAGTTGGTGCCAGCCAAAAGGGAGCCCCAGGAAGGAAACATAACAATTGGTCACGTGCTGGGGGTGGGGTTCTCGCAGGGGTTGCTGGGACAGGGAAGGGAGGTCCACGTGGAGTGGGTGGAGCTCACTGAAAGTTTTGGCGGGGCTGGCAAAGGAAGAAAAATACCCAAATTTGAGTTGTGATTAAAAAAAAAAAAAAAAAAAGTCAGCAGGGAGGGTGTGTTCCGCCCGCGGAGAGGCCTAGCAGAGGGAGAAGGGGAACGGCACATGAGCATCTTGCTTGTGGACGCCTGGAATGCCGGGCAGGGTGTCTGGGAAAAAGAATTCTGGAGCAGGGGCCGCGCTCGGAGCCGGAAACCTCTGCGGCTGCATGCTGGTTCCCCACCCCCCATCCTCCTGGAGAAGGGAAAAGTGGCCTCTCCACCCATGGTCTCATTTTGGTCCCATGTGGGGCTGGGCTAATGCCAGGTACGCCACCCGTCTGTATTTACCTTTCCAAGAGACTCGGGAAGCCGCTCAGATGAATCCTCTCTCCCTGGGAAAAAGCCAAAACAAGCCTCCTTTTTAAAAATATATATATTTTAATTGATTTTAGAGAGGAAAGGACAGAGATAGAAGCATCAATGATGAGAGAGAAACATTGATGGGCTGCCTCCTGCATGCCCCCTACTGGAGATCAAGCCTGCAACCCAGCATGTGCCCCAACCGGGATTGAACTGTGACCTCCTGGTTCATAGGTCGTTGTTCAACCACTGAGCCATGCAGGTGGGGCCAAGCCTCCCCTTTTCACCACCTAGTTGTGCCTCACTGTTAGCAGGAAAACACAGCTTCACGCAGGCTTTGAGCCTGAAGGAGCTCGAAAGATGGTCTAGTTTAATTTTCTTTTGGGGCTGGGGGAACCAAGACCCAGACAGGTAAAGGGCTTGCTGCGTGCTCTTTTCCTACCACAGGCATTCCCTTCAAAGAATGTAGGTCAAAGGAAGTGCACTCCACCTTTCTAAAAGCCTAGGGCCTAGAGGAATGGTAAAAGTGTTGGCTTCAACTCCATGTGCACCTTTAGCCAGAGGGCAAAAGGGAATGATCGTTATCCCATTAGAAATAAATAGGCAGAGAATTGTTTAGAACTTGATTTATGGGTCCTACTCCTTCCCTAGGTTCCCTGACAGCTAGCAGCTCCACTTTCTCCCTCTTGGCCTTTACTCTTGGCTCTCTAGCGTTTTTGTATGTCTTAGTTCAAGGATTACTACAGCTTCAAACCTAATGGTTTGGAAGCAAGATTTCTCTTTCCTTACTAGAAGATCTTCTCTTACCAGGTTTCAGTTTTCGGGTGGATTATCCACCTCATCCTGTGAATTAAGATCAGAATTCCAATCCCCAAATGCCAGCTTTTTGGCTTTGAGGAAGAAAAGCATGTTTGCTTCATCTGGATCAGTGAAATCCTAGACTGGACTTTAGAGCTGTTAAGGTTCCAGGAAAAAAAAAAAGTGGGGGACAGATGTAAGATTGCCAGCTTTTTATTTTGCCAAGTAAGGACATTAAAAAACTACCTCCACTAGTTGCTGCTTACTATCACCCTCATTTCACAAAAGAAAGTATTTTAACACACACACAATAGGAAGCATGTAATCTCAGAATAAATAACAGTCCTAGGCTTCCTTGCATTGACTTACATGGGTACTATAGTGCCCCCCTCCATTTTGTTGAAAATAGATTCTAGTTTGGTCTGTGGGTCTCTAGACCTGAGTGCCAAATCCAACCCAATGCCTGTTTTTATATGTACTACAAGCTAAGAATAAGCTCAGAATTTTTTAATGCATGAAAAATCTAGAATAGTATTCCATGACACATGAAAAGTAAATGAAATCCAACCCTGGCCAGTGAGCTCACTGGTTAGAGCGTTGGCCCTCATACCGAAGGGTCGTGGGTTCAAATCCCAGTCAAGGGCATTTACCTGGGCTGCAGGTTCATCCCCAGACCTAGTCTGGGCACGTGAGAGGCAACCCAGTCGACGTGTCTCTCTCACACCGATGTTTCTCTCTCTCCCCTCCTCTCATCCTCCCTCCCACTCTCTTAAAAAAATTCAATGGGAAAAATATCCTCGGGTGAGGATTAACCAATATATGTAATACTAGAGGCCCAGTGCATGAAATTCGTGCATGGGTAGGGTCCCTAGCGGCTGCCAGCTGCTGGTGGGGCCTTCCTTCGTTCCGTGCCACCCCCTGGTGGTCAGTGCATGTCATAGTGAGCAGTCGAGCTCCTGGTCGGTCAAACTCCTGCCGGAGGGGACAATTTGCATATTAGGCTTTTATATATATATAGATTATATATATGAAATTCAAACTTCAGTGTTCCTAAATAGGACTTTATCAAATGGTGGAACTGTGATTGCTGCTTGGTCTCACACCAGACCCTTCGCTTTTAACCATTGAGTCTCTCATCTGTCATTCCCTCTATTGCCATACTACTAGTACCTTACATAACCACTCATCATCAGCCATACTCACTCATACATTATTTCTTTTTGCTACAATGGCAAAGTTAAATAGTGCAGGAGACCCGAAGGGCTGTCAAAGCCTAAAATATTTACTATCTGGATTTGTTGTTGTTGTTGTTAATCCTCACTGGAGGATATCTTTTCCATTGATTAGAAGGGAGGGGGAGAGGGAGAGAGAAGAGAGAGAAACATCAATGTGAGAGAGCCACATCAATCCATTGCTTCCCGCACGTGCCCTAACCGGGGCAGGGAACCTGCAACTCAAGTATGTGTCCTTGACCAGAATCGAACCCACAACCCTTGGGTTCATGGGCCGACACTCTAACCACTGAGCAATGCCAGCCTTTGATGATACAGCTTGACTGATAAATTATCCATTCCTTAACTGGGCCTTCAGACCTTCATAATCTGGTCTCAAAACCCTCTTGACCTGCTTTATCCCCTATACTCCTCACTATCCAAGCTAAACACCAGCCAACTTCTCCCATTTACTCCAATACATTCTTTTATCCCATGCCTTCACAATATTCTCATGTCTGAGATGTCCTCCTACAGTCTGAATCTTTAAGACCCACCTCAGTTGTCATTTCCTCAATTCCTTCCAAGATATATGTTCTTTCTTCTCTGTGCTCCTAGACAACTTTCTTCTTCCCCAGGTTTTACTATTTTTTACACTATGCTGTTATATGACTGTCACTCTCAAGGCCAAGGGTAGATGCTTTGTCTAATATAACTAAACAGCTCATTTACTCATTCACTGAATATTTATTAAGTGCCTACTGTGTGCCAGGTATGGTTCTAAGTGCTGAGGATACAGCAGTGAACAAAACGTGAAGCTTACATTCTAGAAGGACAGAACAACAAATAAGGTAAATTACATGTTAGATGGTAATAAGTTCTACGGATTAAAATAAAGCAGAAAAGGGGAGAGGGATTTGGAGGGGAGCTGTGAGTTTACATAGGGTGGCTAGAAAAGATCTGATGAAAAGATATTTAGAGAGAGGATATCTGAAGGAGTGAACCAGGTGGAGGGAACAAGTGAAAAGACCCAAGCAGACATATGGCAGGTATGTTTGAAAAACAGCCAAGAGGTGAGTGTAGCAGGGGGTGGTGAAGAAAGGGAGAGCAGTAGGAGTGGAAGTCAGAGGGCAGTACCAGGGGGCCAGATCCTATTTAGGCCATAATAATGATAATTTTATTTTTACTCCAAGTAAGATGGGAAGCCATGAGTTTTTTGTTGTTGTTAATCCTCACCTGAGGATATTTTTTCCATTTATCTTCAGAGAAAGTAGAAGGGACAGGTGGGATCAAGCCTGCAACCAACGTATGTGCCCTTGACCGGAATCGAACCTGAGACCCTTCAGTCTGTGGGCTGATGCTCTAACCACTGAGAAAACCAGCTAGGGCACCATGAGTTTAGAAGAGAGAAAAAAACATGATCTCACTCATGATCGCTATGGCTGTTGTGCTGAGAACAGATTTAAGTAGGGGAAGGCAAAGGTTGAAACTGAGAGACTAATTACAAGGTTACTGCAATAAAAAAGTGAGATATGGTTAGGGCCTAGACCAGTGGTTCTTAACCTTCCTAATGCCGAGACCCTTTAATACAGTTCCTCATGTTGTGGTGACCCCCAACCATAAAATTATTTTCGTTGCTACTTCATAACTGTAATTTTGCTACTGTTATGAATCGTAATGTAAGTATCTGATATGCAGGATGTATTTTATTGTTACAAATTGAACATAATTAAAGCATAGTGATTAATCACAAAAACAATATGTAATTATATACGTGTTTTCCCCGATGGTCTTAGGCGACCCCTGTGAAAGGGTCGTTCGACCCCCCAAAAAGCAAGGTTTAGGTGGGGGAAATTCAGGAGTGTGATTTTAGATGTAAGTGTGAAATGCCTATTAGACATCCAAGTGGCTATGTCTCCTAGGGAGTTGGATGCACCATTCTGAAGTTAGGGGGTGCATCCAGGGAGAAGACATGCATGTGGGAGCTGGTCAGTGTAGAGGTGGTATTGACCGTTTTGATCCCGGAAGAAAGAGATCAGCATTTGAAATCGCCTCCCACCACATCACATCCCCCTTCACTGGTCACCCCTCCTCATCCCAATACCTCCCTGGCGGACCCGAGGCCACAGGGTCTGGTGGAGGGGACTGGGCGCTCCTGGCTTCTTAACCATTCACACCCAGGGTTTAACTGTCCAGTGCTCCATGCTGTGGGCCCACTGGGCAGAGAGAGACGTCGTTTTCACGAGAGGTTTTCACATGAGGCCAAGAATGTTAGTCTTCTTCGTCTCCATACGGGTTGAAAATATATATACAGACCTCAACAGAAAAGAAAAACAACCAATTACAACAAAAAGCTTTTTCACGAGGAATTCTGGGAGGACTTACTGGCTAAAGTTGCCTGGAAATTAAGACACATCCACACACGATGAACCCTGAAAGGCGGCAAGACGCGCTCAGCAAGCCCGAGCGCCCTAGCGTGCGCCTCCCCGGGAAAAGGTAACCCCCTTTGCTCCAACCCTGCAGGAGCCCCCGGGACGGGAAGGAGGTGCCGAGGCTGGGAGCCGGCCGCTGGGGGAGAACTGTCGGTAGTTGGCAACACTCATTCCAGGGAGGTTGTGGCCACCTCCCCGGGCGGACATCATGGATGGGACCCCCTCCGACAACCAGCGGTCCGCCGGTTTCTGACCTGGATCCCTTAGAGACAAAGGACTTCATTTCTCCCCACACAGTGTGGGGCTCATGGGGGGGCTAGAGCTCCACCCCGGGAAACACCCACCGGCTCCCCGGGGAGACTGAGTCAGGAGCTGGTCCAGGAGGCGGGCAGGGCTGCAGGGGCCGCTGGCCCGGGGCGCGGGGTCCACGTCCCTGCCGCCCGCCGCCCCCTCCGGCCTCAGCGCCACTTCTCTCGGCTCCTTTCCCCCGGGAGCCTCCGCAGGCCC